TTTGTTTTCTTGTATTTTATCGCTCTGCTGACCCTTGGGGTCCATTTTATTTTGGTATACCTTTTCTAGGTACGTTAGCCTGTGACCACGGAAATTGGCCGAGTCAAGTGATGGATTAGTACGGAGAGATTGAGACAGAAGGAGGTACTGGATAGAGAGACCGGGATGGTTTTTAATGTGAAGACAACAACAACAACAGCACACAGCAGCAGACCGGGGGGAAACGCACACAGGGACGGTACGCCACGCATACCCATAACGCACCCCCGAACGATCTCCGCAATCTCCGCTATGTTTTGCACTCTTGGAAGATTGGAAGTGCGATGTGCCCGCAGAACCGTGAGCCACAGCAGTAGCAGGTGGAGCTTTACAAAGAGATTTCTCTCTTCCTTCAACGTTGCTATGCATGCGTGCATGCGTGTAGGTGTGCGCGTTTTCGATCGACTGTCTGGATCCTTCTGACGCTTGTCATTCGTTCCTGACTCCTGACCTGAAACATATTGATCTTTGGAGAGTGGATCATCTCCGGAGACAACGCATCAGACCACACCGTTAGATCCTACAGGTACACAATCTAAAGGTTTCGAGATTTGAACGACCAAGCCGGGGGCAGCTAAGTAGGGTAGGGCTTGGCCCCAGAGGGAATTGGCGCTAGTTATTGTGGCGTATTGTGTTGGTAAATGTTTTGGAGTTGTGCAACCCACCATTTGCCCATACGGCACGCAACAACGGCGGTACTAGACACAGATGAAAAATCCGTATTCATAGCGTGTTTTGGGTGTCCATTGGTCTGGAGAAAATGAGAAAATGGACCACGGGAGAGTCCCGTTCCTGCCAAATCAGGGTACATTCTCGAGAATCAGGGTACGATTCCGGAGAAAAGTAACCGCGGCAAGGTAGCCATGCCCCAGGCTTTGTGTGACACGAAGGATGCCGACCGGCGTCGATCAGTTACAGTCAGCTGGGCTCCTGTTTCTTCTTTGACCAGGGTTATTCATGTACCCTGCTGTGTTCGTTTAACCGCCCTTCTGTACATACAGTAGACTACGGAGTCCATATTCTAAAACTCGACACCCACGTGAACATGCGATGCCTTTAGCTCGCACGACTTCCAGAGGTCCGGCACATTTCCCAATAAGTGAATCCACAACGTCGTCTTCAGGAAGACAATAATACTTCGGAAGTACCAAATACCGTGTACCTGCGACAGCCGAAAATATCAAGTGACTGTGTGGTGAACGTCATACTGCGGGCCTTGTAGTACGAGGCGTAATAGCAGTTCTAAACTACAACACAAGACGAAAATACAGCAAACCACAACGAAACAGCAAATAGTACTGTAGCTCTAGACCTGGCCATCGTGCCTATCTAATACACCACAGGCATTTGCTGAGAACTATGTTTCTCGCCCGAGTGAACATGCTGAAACGCACGCGCGGTGACGGCGCTAAGCAACACCAGGTTTGATTCCAACACCGCCGCCGCCGTCTCCACTAACTGCCACCGTTACGCAGTCGCCGCTACCTCCGCCGTGTTCCGCCAAGGCCAGCGGTCGCATACGGTTGCTGTGGTGCGACAGCGAGACCAGTCGGGCCGATTGCGATCCCGATCCACCGACCGCCCCTCTCGTCCCTGAATAAACTTCCCTGTCCCTCCTGGCGGCACCAAAAATGATAGAAGAGAAATGGGTGATCCGACGAATGACTAGCGGAAAACAGACCGACCGGCCGCTGTAGCCGGCCTGCAAAATATGCGGGCAGTGCTGCTGCTGTCCACCCATATTGGTGGTGCTATTTGCACATCAAAACCACACCATGTGAATGGTAGGAGTCATATTTTTGTGGCAATCTTCAGCCGCTCGAGTTAACCCTCAAGACTACAGCAGCCAACGAACAAGTGAACAGCATGCGATTGCACCAATCACCTTTGTGCGGTGATCTGCAGGCGCTTGAGCTCCGACCTCAGTCGACCCTCATCCCTCGCCCTCGTCTCAGCCTGCCCGATTGTCTCCGACAGCTGGATCGTAAGCTCAGAGAGCTAGTCGGAAGAATGCCAAGCGGCGCCAAATGCAAGGGTCAAGGGTCAATCAAGCAAGGGGCGAGTTTCGACGTTGGCATGTGTGCAGTGTTGTTCGGCCAGGCAGAGCGTTGACAGGGAATAGAGACGTGGGTGAAGTTAGATATGTTTTCGGAAGATTGCGTGCGTTTGCCTGTCCTGGCTACCTTGCCAGACGCCCTGCAAGCAAGGCACTTGCCTTTCCTTCCAGCAAAACAGCAAACATCCACCTTGAATCTATCCCATTTCCCACGAATATCGCGGCACTGAATACAGGCTGTTCCGGTCGTGAAAAATTGTCACCCAACGGCAGGCCACGAGGAAGGAAGACAACATACAACCTTGCGGCGGGCATCAACGAGCTGCTTTTCTAGCCTTGCGTTTTCCTCCGACCCACGCTTGGCCACCGCCGCCGATTCGTCCCGCTCCGTTGCAAGCTGCGCCAGACGCCCCTACAGAGGGATCGATGGGGAGCAAACAAACACTTGGCTACCTTAGCGGGGTTCGGTCGCAGCACACTGAAAAAAGATTGTACACGCGCCAAACACGAAAAGAAACGGCGAACATGATGGTACAGACGTGCTAGGACCAAGGTCCTCAAGGACATACCTCGAAAAATACGCGAGATCCCTCGCATCATATTCCGGCGAGGACGTCTCCTTATCGTCGTCGTCAAACCGCTTGAACAGTAGTTCGCTTAACGAGGTCGCCAAATCACGTGAAACTAGAACCAACAAATACCAGCCTGTTGTGAAGATCGCCGCAGCGAACCACATCACGCTCTTCAACGACAACGCGACATGCCGAGCTGGGTCATCCAAACCTGCAGGTCGGTGTTTCTGGAGGACAGCCTCTGTGCGATCTCCCCTTCCTCCCGAAGACGCCTCTCCGTCGACAAACCCGCACACCTCTCTCGCTCCTGCGCTGCCCGGAGCTGCTTCTTCAACGACGCTTCCACCTCAACCACCCGTCGCTCGGCCTCCCTGGGGCAGGGCACACGCATAACAATGGGGAGAACATGCGAAATCGTACAGATAGCCGGTCTTTTCATTTGTGCTGGTGGGAAAGGGGAAAGGGCGTGGTATTCTTCACATGAAACGAATCTCTCGTTGAAAAAGAACGTATCTCTCGTTGTCTGTGCGCCAGGTAAGAAATGAGCGAGATTGACTTTGGTTTCGTGTGAGCACAACGGGAACAGACTTGGCAGTTGCTTGCTTCTTAAGCAGAACATATGAACCAATCCTTGACGCCTGAGATACACCTGCCCCAGATGAATCTCGTACTATGCGGTCTTCCCTCAATACCTTTAATAGAGTTAGTCTACGGTTGGCTGCAACAACAACACCAGGCCGTTGGCGGTAAATATATCGTTCTTCGTGCTAAGGTTTGGTGTCGACTGGGAGATACTTGGGACAGGTTTTCAAAAAAAGTCCGACTGCTTCCGATCTATCGAAGATACCCAATTGGCCTTCCTCATGGCGGAGGGACACTTGAAAATGAATGTTTCAAAGGTTCGGTTGTTCTTTCCTATCCATGCAGACGCTGAACACGGAAAACATTAAACACGGCGAAGAATGCGTGTGTGTGCCATGTGGATGTGGTTGACTAGTCGAGAATCACCTAGTGATGTATGTTTTTCTCTCTCACACACAAACACACCTTGAGCTTCTCTCTAACACGGCCGCGTGAGCGTTGGCTTCTTCCACTTCCGCCTTTCGAACTAGCGCTTCTTCCTCCAGCTTTCTGGAGGACAACACGTTGTGAAGTAAACATTGATCGAAGTGCATGCGTACATGACACTTGTCCTGAAAAACCGGAGACACAAAAAGAGGGAACCGTACAGAATGCCGCATCAACCAACACCATAAAATACACACCGTTCGTGCTCGCCGCACATTTTTTTTCTTCCCATGGTCTTCTAATAACGCAGTGGGCGTATAGTAAACCAACAACATCGTGTCGGCAATGCATGTGCGTACGTACGACGGACGAATGCATATATCTTTGAATTTAACAACCTATCCACAGCTGAAAAGAACTCACAAGGGGTTGTGACCCCAACAGAATAACAGATAAGGGCTAAAGAGATCGACCATGGGTGCGTGCAGGGCGAGAACGCATTGATAACTCCTATTCTCAATGAGCACCATTCTTCAGAGAAGAAAAAATCACGCCATCCCGGCACCTACACCTGTCGCCAGTTATCATCACCAAAGTACAGGGTAAACATTATTATCCAAAAATTGCGGACGCACCGTGTACCTGGTATACTCCTCCCTCGTCTCCTCGAGCAATGCCGCTAGCCTCTTGGCCTCTCTCTGACGGTTCTCGGAGTGGTCGGTGGCTGCCCTCAAACTGACACGTATGGCATCCAGCTCTCGTTCCCTAACAGCCGCGACGATGAGGAATGGACTTTGTTACAACAGTCGTGTCATCATGATCATAGCCCCAAAGCTTGCTCTATCTTCCCGAGCGCCGAGCGGTGCGTTCTGCTCCCAGTTAGACTTATAACACTGACGTGAAATGGAGATGATTCAGCAGCACACCTTTGGCGGCCTTGGCACCGTGCAGTTTGCGTGAATTGAACAAAAGCATCGCATCCGGAGAAAATATCAGACAACATGGAATGCGAGCACGTCACCTGCCGGTGATTGAATCTTTCGACTATCTTTCGTTCGCTGTGACTATCAAAATCAACGGGAAACAGTTCGTTGCTCTTGTTCCTACACTGTCTATAAGAACATGTCACTGGGTACTGCTTATCATAGCGTGCGCTATAGAACTAAGGATACCAGCCAGACACACGTAACGTGACCCAGCTTGTAACGAAAGTTTGGCGTGTTCCATACGGGCATACGTCCGCAAGCGCTTACGCCGCTTTCTATGGCTGCAGAATATTGCAAGAAAAGCCAACTTGCAACGTTTCAAATTTACGCTCAGCAAAAGTTGGCGCAAACGGGAGCAAAAAGTTGCAATCTGGACGAAAAATTTTGCAACTTTTTCGCGAAGGGTGTCGAAGAAAAGTTGCACGGCGCAACTTCCGCCCATCCATTCTACCCCTACCGCACACGTAGACCCTCTCCAACTTCGATTGGGGGAAGGGTGTGATCACCGGTATCTCGACGAGTGCTTAACGCGCTGCCTCATGAATGGTATCTGGAAGGAGGTGATGCTATGGGCTGTCGGGCAATGCCAAGGTTGTGGGCCGTGAGGTACCGAATGCGCCGGGGAAAAAAGCTTGTGCTGTGCACGACCGTCAACGGCCGCGAGCGGGTAGTTCAAGTTCTGTGTTTTTGACCACTGTGGGTTTGGCGATCCACCGATAACTTTCCGAAGGAGGAAGCAACAGCAATAGCAAGGCCACTCGGCGGGAGGTAGCTCTCTGCTCCATCTTTCATGCCCAAGGTTTGGTGCGGTGGGGTATCGTGCGCGTCGGGGCAAATTTTTTGATCGACCCTAAAATACCCACGTCAGAGAGCGGTTGGTTCAAGTTCGCAGGGGTTGTGTGCTCATGGTTTGGTTTTCCAGCGATAGCTTATCGAAGGAGGAGGCAACCGCAACAGCAATGCAACCCTGAACAGTTAGCTCCCCCCAGCATCTTTCTGGTACCAGGGTAGATGCCTTGGGGTGTCGTGAGTGTGGAGAAAAAAGGTTGCATCTACCCTCTCCCGCACGCTGTGGCCATTTTTTTCGCGGTGCGGTATGAAAGGCGTGTGCCGTCTTCTCGTCGTTGCTGAAAAAACAAAAAGATCACGCCTCCGCGTTCCGCCAGTCCCGTGCACAAACTACTTCGTCCCATAATGAGCGTGCACCAAAAGTGTTGCTGACAAACTTCCGGAGCGAAGTTGCAGAAAGAGTTTTGCAACTGATTTTGCAACATCTCCAGCCATCAAAAGCGGTGGAATCCATGTACAGCTGCTGCATGCACCCATAGACATGACGGGAGATGGTGGTGCACAGCAACAACAATAACACATTGTGATCGTCACCGTCCCCTAACGGAGAAAGTCCATTTTCCCGATCCTCCGCTGGGCTCGGGGGTGCTTATCGCGATATTATTTGACACACGAAAGCCCCATTGACAACACTCACAGGACCATCTCACCTAGCTTTAAGCGTGTCGTCGAGGTGGTTCTCTTTCGCTCTGAACGCTGCTTCCTTGGCAGCGAACTCCCTCTCGGCGTCGACGGCGTCCTGCCTGAGCTCCCTGGCGGCGGCCTCGTGCTACAATATTGAAGACCAACACGCCAACAAACATCAGTGTGAGCAATCAGAAGGCAAGCGTAGTGGTTTAAAGCGTACCACGAATGCTGGTCAAGGCGATGATGCTACTAATAGTAAAAGTGGTATGGTCCTGGTGGCAAACGTTGTCATGCCCTGCCCTGCCCTGCCCTGCCATGCCAGTCGACACCGCTTCGGTTCCCAATCAGGACGGAATGGGAAATTGGAAAGGTGATGGGAACACATGTAACCAATCCACAAATGAGCGAGGAGACTCACGACGGTAAAGCGGCTGCTGTCAGCCGTTTCACGTAGAAGCGAACGCCTATGAGTGCGGGTGCCCAACCTTCCACCAACGCTTTCCAACAATATTGACCACGCAGATCGAACGCAACCCAACCCCCCATCTAGCCTCACGTCTCCACGCTTGCAGCTCTCCAGCATGCGGTGCAGCTCACGAACCTTGCCCTAGGCCACCGCGACCACGGACGCCGCTACATCGGCTGCCCTGCCTGGCTGTACCATGTCGTGTATCCCGAAAACCACCCCCAATGTGCGTTAACTTGCAGATGCAGATAGTCAGCTTCCGCCCCTGCCTCCATGGTCTCACCCTACCAACACCCCTTGAGCTTCTCTAGCTTCTGCCCCCAGAGCAAACAAACTAACCTCATCTCGCTTGGCATCGGCCTCGAGCACCCTCTCTTGCAGCTCGTCGAACTTGGCCTTGAGAGTCTCCGTCTCCGTCTCCACCCCTTGCTTGAGCGACGAGTACACCCCTTCCATCCCTGCGCGGTCCCTGGCGGCCCGCTCCGCCTCCCCCCGTAACCTTGCCGCCTGTGCTGCAAGGTCCTGCATGTATTGGGTGGAAGAACGGACAAAAAACGGCGTGTGTACGTGTACGTGTACGTGTATGTGTTTGTGCAACATCTGATCGTTGGGAGTGTGTATTTTCTTGCGCCTTTACGTCTGACTAGTACAGCCGAGAAAATGCTGAAGGGGAGACGCGCGGGGAGGGGAAGTGTACCATCAGGTGGATGACGCATGCTTCATGTGATCATGTGCTATGCGTACTGCTGTGTTGCTTTGAAGCTTAGCCGTTTGCGCATGTATGTCCACAGTTGGAGATGGGCAAAGCATTCCACTAAGGACCGAGAGTTTTGGTTCCCCTCGGGTCCCGTTCTTCTGCGGTTTGTGTTGGGACGCTAAGACGATTGTGATTATCATTCGTTGGCTATTGTCTTGATGTTGTTGCCACTGTACGGGCACTTGTTTCATTTGTGTTCGGTTTAAGTTCAGTGATGTCGACCTCGCCTGTATCTCGCGATCTCGAGCGGCGACTTGCGCCATAAACTTGTTCTTCAGCGTCAGCACGGCCTCCTCCATCTCCCGCACGTGCCCTGATGCATCTGCCTGTCACATCGCGAAGGACATGGCTCAACAGACAACCTTAGACATTTTTCACATCATCAGCAGACAGCCTACAGGGATCGTGAACAACGCACATATTTCCGTCGCATGCGTAGGTTAGGTCCGATAAGCTGGGCTTGCCGTGTGCGAGTTTCGAGCGCACACAACTCCCGACGTCTTGTCTGAATGAACCAGTGCTTCGATGGTCAATGATTAAAGGGGACGTGTAGAACACCTTTGCCCACCTTGCGCGCTTCGAGTACCCTGGCGAGCTCCCGGCGGGACTGGATCTCTAGAGCCCTTGCCTGATCTCTTGCAAGGAGCGCGTCCTCGACCTTGAAAACAGAAAAAAAAACGGCAAACAGCAAGAACATAACAGGTCCGTTTGTCAATCTCAGGGTTCATTTGAATTCCTCAAACTCCTCTTAAAACCCTCCAGGGCACAAGGACTCACGTGCTAAGTTAAAACAGTGGACGAAATGGTAGGTACTGCTGTAGGTGGATGGTAGTAGGCACTCATGCCAGCGTAGCACCAATCCACAACTTGCCGACAGCCCGGACCCCGACTGAAATTTAAAAACGCCCCAACAAAGGAATCATGCAAGCAACAGGACAGGCCCCGTATTTGTAAGGCAAGAAGCATCCGCATGATTGGCTACGGAACGTTCGTTGGGACGGCGATTGGTAACATGCCACCCCTGTTGTGGGGACTACTCCCTCAAAATAACATTTTAGTCAAGACCACATCCATCCCATCCCTTTGCAGTGCATGGTGTGCCCCTTGTGCTCAGTCAACCTTTGACTTTGACCCATTCCATTCTGCTGTGGCCGAACCCTGAAAATGGTCTCCTGATTGCTCATTCTGTCTGGACCCACGAACATTTCGTTTCTTGAGAGATAATCTCTTTCTTCCTTCTCATCTTTCTCTTCATAGAGCCTGTATGTGCAGCAAATCGACATGAAAGCATTCAACACCTTCCACCCGCCCCTCTCTCGCCCTTTTCCCTGACCTTACACCTTACCTTCTGCTTGCTCTCCTTGGCGAGGGTGGTGGTTGACTCCTCCCTAGACGAATAGTCCGCGATCTGTCTCTCCATGCCGGACATGACCTGCACAGCAGGTCATGAGTAACGGTCGGCCGAGATACCGGATAGCTCAAGTAACTAGTGAATACATCCCAGCGGAAGCCCAAATGGTTGAACCAAACTAGTGAATCACCTTGCTTTCACTCCTTGAATGAACGATTGAGGTCATGACGAGCATTACAGCAGTACGACTCTCTCGAATACCGGGATCGTAAACGGCGGGAGAAAATCACGAAGAAGGCTGGGTCTCTTCGAAGGTCTCAAGCATTGGCGGCGCTACGTTGCCGAACGGCCTGGGAGCACACCACTCTCGGCGCTATCTCCAAAGATCGTCGCCACCAACTCCCAAATCGCCTCATTTGTAGCGTTTGTGGGCAAAGATAACATTCACATGAACACGGTTCCCGTCGGGAATGATATTCTTCACTGGCCTAGAATTGAGCTCGACCATACCCCAAGCCTTTGTCACATCTACCATCAACATGGACACCCGCCAGCCACATGCACCGCCAAACTTCGAGCACTACAAGTGAAACAAGCCTGGAAGTAGACACACATGTCGGTTTCCTCCAACAAACGACTTAGATGAAAAGATGTTGAAGCTCATACAAGGCAGATTTTGTTGCCGCTATTCCCAAGCCTCATGTCTCACATACCTGGAGCATACCCTCGGCATCCCTGCGCGTTGAGTCGAGCTCCCGCTGGAGCTTCCTAGCTCTGTCTCCATTCAAGTCTGCTTCTTGCCCCCGAGCCGCCATCAGCCCTGCCCAAAGGTCCAAACTGAAGTTAGCTCATTCAAGGAAATTTGGTCTGTTCTTTCTCGAGGATGATCTAGCCTATCACATATCGCACAAGAAGCCACAAACTTTCAAATCACGATAGAGCTATTTGTCCAGCACGCGTTGCAACCGAGATTCAATCTCGCAGGCACACGGTGTGTCGATCGCGGGACCATCGATGACGTTTGTCGTAGACGCATGCTCGCGTGAGTCGCACATATTTCCTCAATGTCTGTCTCCTTGCCCATAGGAATGATTCGGAAATCCACCAGTCTCGTACAATGCCTTAACGTGTACCCCCGAAGAGCCAACGAGTCCGTTTCACTCATTCCTCTATGTCTCACTTACCGGTGGAGTACGCGCACCTCACGCTACTAAACGAAATGCTATTTCCACCAAAACGGGGGTAAAAACCAAGTACACGCAACTGTTGGGGCAAAAAACATAAGGTGCAAAACCTTGACGACTTTGGATGCTTAGCGAGAGGCATCGTAAAAAACGTAATGCCCTGCTGTTCACTCACACTTACTTCGTTCATTTTCATTCATGGCACCCCAGCGGGAAGCGTTTATTCCGTCAATTGTGGTGCACGAAAGCACGATCGGGTGATAGCTGGCTCCACCACCCACTACCTCGGCAAGGCAATACCTTTGTACCAAGTACGAAAAGCTGACGTGAGGATATGAACATACCGTCAAACACAGAAGGCAAATGCGCTCCCCAGCGAAGGACTGTAAGACCATATCACAACTTACCACAACGCCACATCCGCCAGAAGGTGATCCGGGCGTGCCCGGCCGCATGCCCTGCCTTAGGCCCTTTTCTTCGTTTTCATCTCATATATTGGTCACGGCAGTCGTTCTCTGGTGACGAGAATCCTCTCAAACTGTCGTGTTGGAACAAGGCTGCTACGGCACGAACCAAGGATGAAATTTACCCCGCCAGCGTCAGGAAGCCGTCGTGATATACCTTGCAGCTCGGTGATACGCTGACCCGTTGCGCGCACGCGCTCCGCCGCAACGTCAGCGTCGTTTTCGGCCTGCTTTTCCATCGCCGCGCGGTCGGCCTCCATCTCCGTCAATTTCACCGACAAACGTCTCGCCTCTTCTTTCGAAGCCCCCAGCTTTTCTCCCACCTACAAAAGAACAATAAATGAGAATCGACGATGCGATTTTGGTTGAGTTAGGAGGTGCGATATAGGTAGGCTGTGCTAAGAATGACTGTCAACCGTTTCGTCCGGTGCAATAGCGCCGATATCAATATCATATAAGAAACGAACAGCACCACTAGCAACAGCACAAATCGACAGCAGCCGCTAAGGATCACCACAAGTAGGAAATGACTCCCACGCCTAGCTAGAGAGGCGTGCTTGCATCAATCTCGTTTGACATTGAATTTCGAACACAAGGGATGAGGCCCATGTGGGACGAGGACGCAACGCCCCACAGGATATTTGCAACACCGATGCCAGCACCATCACTACCATCAGCCAAATTGACTCGAAAATCGGATCGTCGTTCGGGAAAATAGGCTTTCCGGAAACGATAGTGATAAGCTTGCTCGAAACAAGCACAGGCCTGGTACGTGGATAACCACCATGTCAATAGAGATCCCCAAGGGAGAAATCAAGAGCCAGTCCTTCTTAAACAAGCTTGGTACTTGTGTGTTTCGAGTTGTGAAGGCCACAGCAAGCACCCCTTCGCAGCAGTTCCTAGCCAAGTACTCGCCTACCTCTCCTCCTTGCATCTATACCCTCCATTCTACTCTGCTACCATATGTTTTGGCTCCTTGAAAGACAATCGGAAGAATTTTCTCTCCCTCTCATTTGTTTTTAGTGCATTCTTCAAAGCAAACCATGGGCGACGCTGAGGAAATCCACCCAGTTGAAGGCGGGGCAGTAACGGCTGAACAAATCAATACCTTGACAAGGCCTCTCTGCCACACGCAAGGCAACCAAGTAATCCCGCAGAAAATATAGAGGTCTCGCGGGCTGTAGAATGACTCATGCTTTTTGTCGGCCAGTCCGCTATTGCCCTAGTGCGGTCGATACTACCAAGTACTATTAATAAAACACACACGCACACACACAAACATCGCCGCACTGAGACTGACGCTTTCGATTGGTCAGCCGGCTATGCGGTGAAAGCTAGAAACCACACACACAAACCCTTGCCTCTCCCGCTCTTACCTCGGCAAGCGCTGCCTCCCTTTCTGACATGGCATTGATGGCTTTCATGAGCTCTCCCTCGGCGTGGGCTTTCTCTCTCTCGAGTCGGGGGACCCTCTCTTCCAACGTCCTGCAACACCAACACCAACATCAATCAACGTACAACACAAACACAGGTGCTTGGGCTTACGAAAAATTTCAAGGGTGGGTGGTGTAGTGCACGACAGGCTTCAGAACTACCCGCGGGACACTCGAGGCGATATCCATAACCACGCCTAGGTCCATGTTAGTAATGTAACAGGCACAGCGTTTCTAACTATTTCACAAAGTTGAGGACACAACCACAGTTTCAAAAGTTGCCCTTTGCCTTGTTGATCGTAAAACAGTTACAGTAGAGGTCCCTGTTTAATGCCGATAAGTGCCCAGAAATTTACCGGCACCATACCGGACCGGCACTATTCTATTCAAACTATCGAGAATCACTTGGAAATTCAACGTGTGCCCACCGAAAACACCGGCACTTTACCGGACACCGGCACTATTCAGCCGGCACTGAATAGGGGCCTCTGCTCTAGGTTGAAACGTTGAGGTAACACAAGTTCCACAGGAGGTGTTGAATTGTAGGTATGCGCGTAATTTACCGTAGGCCGACTCCGGCCTCGCTGAGGGCCTTCGTCAGGGCAGCCATCTGTGCCTCCCGATCCTCGAGGTCCTCGTGCACCGCATCTAGCTCTTTCGCCATCGCCGATGTCTGGAACGTTGAATAGCCACATGAAACATTCGCGTACACATGCAGTTTGTGCAATTTGTATTGCGAATGATCCGAGAGTGTTGTCATGGGAAGCTGTTTCGATTCATGCACGAAGGGGATCCAACCTTAACACCACGAGGCTTGCTTCATGCGCAGCGGCCAAGCTCACGGTGGTGAAGGTGCAATTAAAGGGACGTTGGCAGACAGTCTCCGACGGATGTAAAGTATGCCTGTCGAAATGTTGCAGACGGGGCTAGATCCGCCCGGGCGGTGCTCTCAACCACGACAGCTGTGACCCAATCTCTCGCTTTCACCCGCCACCAATCCCCCCGCGCCACATACTTTTCTCTAGACGCTTGATATTACGAACGTCGACAGCACACGCAAAGCGTCCATCCCGCTCCTAGTTTGGCACCTCGTCGATCGGGACAGCATCCTTCGCCACAGACCTATCGACAAGTTCGTCGAGATAACTCGGTAGCTCTCCTTCAACCTATTTTATACACGTTCTGCTGCCGAGCATTTCCCCGAATCCCATTCAAAATCGGAAGACCAAATGACGCCACGCTACGCGTAGGATGTGGACACATACCTGGTCTGCCATGACGGTGTTCTCTGCCATGAGAACGTTAATACGTTCGTTGAGCTCTCCCACCATCTCCCTAGCGCCCACCCCTCCCAGACCTCCCGATGCCCCGGCCTGCTGCACCAGTTCGTCCAGCTCGCGAGTATGCTCTTGTCGCAGCTGGAGGACCCGAGAGGGACAACGGTATTGTTTTCTTGCTGAACAACAACAACAGCCGAGACCCACCGCCACAACAACGTAGCAAAACGATAAATGTATGTATATATATATATATATCATGACATTCCCATGGGACATCCTACTGGTAACTGCAGGACCCCGCCGAAACAAATACACCCAAACAACCGGAGGGAGACAGCAGTTTTCTCTTCTTGTTGAGTCGAGACCTACCGCCAAAACAACGTAGCAACGACAAATGATGACATTCCCATAGGACGCATGCTACTAGCAAATATAATAGCTGTGATGTGACAACAACCGTCACACCGCAGTCCGTGCAAGCCATAACTCCCCGTGAGCGAAAAGACGCTACGTCGAAAAGTTGCCCAAGGCTCCAACAAATCGAGAAACAGCAGCAAGCGAGATAATAAAGACCACACTCCCCTCGATACAATGGACATGCCCGTTTCTTACAGCCTCTCCGCTTCGAACAGTCTGTCTCCACTTGCCGTGTCGTTCTCCTCCACGAGCTGACGCGTCCGACCAGCGAGCTCCTCAATGCCATCCCTCTGTGCCGCATTCTGCCTCTCCAGGTCCTGCGTCGGAAAAAATATCGCTCGCTTTTGAAGCATTTTCAGCCTTTGGCCACGCAACACTTTCATGCTATTTACTACCCGCTGTCCACCGAACAGAAGCCCTCAACACTTGGCAGTAGGCATTCTTGAATAGACTACACACAGTGCCCCAACGAGAATGCTCGCTGGGTTGATGGTTTCACGCACCTTCAGCCTTTGGCCACGGACCACTTGAATGTTACCGCTGTCTACCAAATAATTATTCACGATAGACACACACCATGCACCACCGAGAGTCAAGAATGATCACTCCTGCAGGAACGGCATCCATAGGGGGGCACACCATGAGCCAATCAAAACCAAGCAGTGATGCCGGCCGACCTGTATCCTGGCGTCGTAGGCCGCGAGGAGGGGAGACATGACCTCCGATGACGTCACCCACGGGGGAAGAGGAACATCGTCCGCGGCATCTGGACCGCTAACCTCTCCGCCACCCTCTCCTCCTCGCCCCCTGCTTCCGTTTGCGCCTGCTCCCGTCGCTGAAGCAGCCGCGTCTGCTGCTGCTCGTGGGAACCGAACCTGGTACCTCTTCAACTCCGCTGATACTCTTCTTACCTGCGGTTTCAAACACGCGGAATAGTGCACTGCGGTGTGCTTGTGATCCAGGAGGTGTTGAAGGGTTGGGACGGACCCGATCTGTATACCGTTCACTCCCTTTTGTCATATTGGATGGTTGAGGGTGGCGTGAGAATGTACGAGACACGCCAGATGGGGTCCATGACATGACCTAGTGCTTCGCTATCGGCGTCGCTGACCTCAACCTCCGCAGGTACCGACGTAAGGCACTCTCAGAGGGAAAGGGGACGATCTACAGCAGTTTCTCGCGGTCTGTTCCGGGGAACGTTCTACGGAAGTTTCTAAGTTCCTCACCTGATCCTGCAGAAAGGCGTTTTCTTCTCGTGTCCTGGCCAACTCTTGCTCGTACAGACGCTTGTCGGCCAGAGCGTCCACCACAAGGGCCTGCCTCGTTCGAGAATCGAAACGAACTGCGAGTCAGCACATCGCCCTCCACCACAGCCACATGGCTGAGTTTCAGTCTGAACACATCTGATCCCACACCCAACGACCCAACAGACAGCAGCGCCTCAACTAAATGTATGTAATTCCCCGCAAGATGGCGATTATCTGACTGATGCGCACGCATTGTTTCCCGAACGAGGATCACACGACATACCTCACGCTCTGTCGGCGGCTGCAGCCCCCCTTCGCGATTAATCCATGCGCTGGACCGTTCTGCCTGCGGACCGAGGCGAGGGATCCCGCCCGTCGGGCCAATCGTCGCCGGTCCACTTCCGCCTATCTCCATTCTCGGTTGGGTAGCGTATCCAAGGGTCTGATCAAATACAGCAAAGGAACACCCAGGGAGGATGCTTTGTCGGAAGAAATTCAACGTCTCTTGCTTGAAAATGGCTGACGGGGGCGTACGATATGTAGTATCAAGCCCAAAATTGACAACAATTCTGAACAAGTCCAACGAGGCTTACACATTAACGCGGCTGGAAGTTGCAGTGGCCACCAGCCAGGTAGAGAGACAGCCATGGGGTACCCACACCGTGACGGGCGCAGCATGCCTACTGGTACTGTTGCAGATCTACCACAATCTATTTATAGCGATTTTCTACAACTACAAGGCAGTGACTGCGGAGTGTACAGCTAGCGTGCTCGGCGGGTACGGCACTGACTACTGTTGCGGTTCTGGGATATTCCACTCTTCGAACTCTCGGATCGAAGGCGTGCATGCTTCGGCCCGAACACCAGCTCCGTCTGCCCTCGTAAGGGCAGAACTTCGTCCTTCTACCTTGATTCCGTATTCCTTTTCAACCGGTGTTTTTTTATCGCACAAGTAAGAACATCGAATGCAGCCGTGTTCATTTGTAGACAATACACAAAGATGTGCATAAGGGCACACCTCCTGTACATACTACTCGGGGATCTTTCTGTGTTGGTGCCGTAAATTCATGCCCCAATTGCAAATGGAATATAGTGTCGAGTTGATGGTCCACAACAGGGGTATCCTTGTGGCCGTTGGATGGTCGAGGGTGAAGGAGTCCATGCCGAAGTGCCAGATTCGACGTGAGAAATGACGTGGGCAAGATGCAGGGCTGCTATAACGCGCTTCAGTAGGAACATGTAGCTGGGTCTCCCTCGCGAGGAACTAAACACCGTTGAGGCAATCACCGCCCAGATTGAATCCAGAAGGCAAACGTCCCAGGAGTCCAGCGTAAGGTTATGTGCCTGATGTTCTGCTGTAGATAGAAAAGGTGCCCATTTTGAGGGGATGGTTCGTCGGTTCTGTAGTCGAAATTGAAGTTGATTTGAGACCAAAAACTCCAAGACGATCGTCCGGTTTAGGAGTCCTTCCCTTAAATACTATTTCTAGGAAGGAGTATTTAATACAGAGGCGACGTGCACGCTGGCACGCTCAGATCTGTTGTCAAGGCTGTGGTATCGTGATATCGGGATATCGTACCGCTGGGTCCAAAAACACCACAAACCGCCACGAGCCCTTCAGCAATCTCTTGCACCCCTTGCACCCCAGGTCGTCGAGGGCAGGGTAGTGGTGAGGACTACTGCTGTAGACCTGCAGTTCAGGAGATTGGCATCGCACACGAAAGTTGACCATGTGCACATGAACAAGCCATAGCATACCGATGCTGTGGTTTGCCACCGCCGTTCATGGAAGGGGCACGCGGGGAGGATCATAAGCAATCTTTGCTGTTATCCAGACTACTTGTACGGTAAGGTAGGATAGGAGTCGTGAGCATTAGTTCCAAGACAAGCACCGGGCAATCAAATACACACGCATAACTTATCGACATGATGAAAGTTGGATTCGTTATGCCAACCCACGTATTTGTTCACCGAAACCCGCGTATCTAGCTCACCTCGTGTTCTGGTTCAATCGAAGGACGCAGCACCAGCTGCGAAGCCGCCCCCCCCAGCGGTCCCTTGGCGCACTTGCCACTCGGATCCGAAAAGAGGAAGAGCCTCTGGTCCAGCCCCGAGCAATCTTGTGCAGATGGACACCAAGATGGCAGTCGCAGAGCTGATGGGCATAGAGTAAAACCACAACCACAGCACGTACAGGGGGTCAGCGGAGCTGAGAGATGGTCGACCACTCTGTCGACTGCTGTCGAGTTGGTTTGTCAGGGGGTGTCGGGTCGTTGGGCCAGGGCCGAGGGCGTCGCAGATTGGACCAATAAAAGATACTCCCCCATGAAATGCGGCGGGATCGAAGAGAGGCGGTGCTGTGCGGCGGGTTTACGCAACAGGGACCATGGGTTACCCCCCCATGGGTAGGGATGATTTTTTTTTTTAAAGCGGCGCCTCTGATTGGCCCAAACGACCGCATTTGAACGAAGCTGATTGGGAGTTTGAAAGCGGGTTTTAAAAGCGGCACTTGGGATTAGTACAGAGGAGTTGTAATGACGCGGGAGCGCCGGCGGGACAGGCGCGCGCAGCGCTGCACGCGGCAGGACTCTGCGCTTTGTCTGCGCAAAGAGAAAGGACACAGCTCTCTCACCGCAGCACACACACGTACAACCCACAGCACACGCACAGCACCACAGAGGAATTTACCATGGGTCGCAGGAAAGGATCAACGCCTGCGGCTGGAACAAAAAAGCCCGGGACGAAATCAAACGCAGAGAAAAAGATCGACGAGGAGAAGCGATCACGGCAGGCAGCAGCTTTCCGTACGGTCATGGGGTGGGCAGACACAACAACACGGAAGCGTCAGCGAGTCAGTTGCGAAGGTGCTACCAACGACGAGGAAAGTGCGGGTGAGAGGAGTACACCGACGACGATATCTGACGTCGGAAGAGGCAGTACGAGCCAGGCAGTACATGTCGTTCGTGGGGCATCAAATAACTCCGCAACCGCTTCAACCCAGTCGCCGTCTTCCAAGGGGAAAGGCAAGGGGAAAGCTCGTAGAGAACGTCCCGTAGGAGCAGCGGCATCAGAGGTAGTTGCAGCAACAGAGGGGCCGGAAGCAGGAGGGACAGTAGAACCAGCTGCAACAGTAACAGCAGGAATGCCACAAGCACCAACAGCAACATCACCAGCAGCGGCAACAGCAACACAAGCGGCAACAGCAGGAGTAACGTCAGCAAGCCCACCACCATCTACCGCACCTGTTCCTCAACCACCGGCACCGCTACTAGCGGCTGGGGCGGCGGCGTTACAAGGGGAACAAAGACGAGGACGAGGCGGCACTGCAAGTTCTAGTCCCTGTGCTGAAACTCGACCAACAGCTGCGGCAGGAGGCACGGCAGGTGCCGTTACAGGGGGGACGATAGCTCAAGCTGCGGCTGTGGCGGCGGCGGCCGTCGGAGCAGCAAGCATAGGTCAAGGCAGTGGCAGAGCTAGACGGGAAACACAAGGAGGTGGGAGTGCAGGGGGGGGCGGAGGAAGGGGTAGTGGACGACGAGCACCGATGGGGGTACGAGAGGCTGGGAGAGGGGCAGCGGCACGGGCAGGTGGAGCGGCGGGAACGTCCGCTCCCCCTCCCGTGGGCGGGGGTGGTGTTGAGGATAGCCAACTGTTGTCACCTGCAATGCGGGATCATTTCCGTACCGTCAAGAAGAACATCGACGCCAACATCATCCATCACAGCGGCGGCGTGGCGGCACCTAGGGGAGGCAGTTGGAAGTTCCCCTACAGCAGCCCCCTCATTCTCCCGAAGTGTGCTACGATGCAGAACACCTCAGGTATGCACCCGACGTCCGGGTTTCCTTTGCTGCTTTGAACAGCAGTTTTGTACTCCTGGCGATTGACC